GTAACAACCCTACAACATAAGAACTATTATTATCCCTACTTGATATATGAGCAAACTTGAGAAAAGAAAGATATGGTGACTTTGCCCAAGGTCACATGGGTATGGATGGAATTTGATCTCAGGCAGTGTGACACCAGAGCTCTGACCTACGTTCAGTGTGCATGATTGCCAGTAACTCTTGTGTTTATCTAGTCAGCATCCCTCTACTGTACTGCCACTTTCTCTTCCCCTAAAACATGCTCAATCTCTTCTCTAAATTCCCAAGTAATTATCCAACCTCTTTTTGACAATAAGGACTTGATATTTTGCCTTTTCCACCTTCAGACTTTAAAAGTTCCCCTTTATATTCATTGGAAATGTGCATAAGGAAAAATATAGTATTAGTAGCTCATCTGTATAGTGAGGATCACAGCAGCTGTCTCCTTGGATGTTTACAGGAATGAATGAAAGGAGAATGTAGGCATAAGAATGAAAGAATAAAAGCATGGTCTCAATTGGTGATATGCCTCTTTGCATAGGTCTATCCCCTGTAACCATACAAATTGATCACGTCTCTTTCACGCCTGGTAGTCTTTCAGTTCCTAAAGGCTATGATCATGTTTCCTCTCAGCTGTTGCTGCTCTTTCTTCCTCTTCCTCCCTCTCTTCCTCCTCTTCTTCCTCTATTTTCTTCAGCTGTATCTCACAAGACCTTTCTAGACAGCTCACCATCATCCCATCACACTTCCTTCATCCTTCCCACTGTGTCATAGGTGAAGAAGTCAAAAAATCACTGAACAGAGCAGAATCGTTGTCTCCTTGGGTCTGTGCACCACATGTCTATTAATGAAGCTGACAATTTTTGTTTTGTTTCATTTTTCCTGCAGTGCTCAGGACCAAACCCACCACCTCACATGTGCTAGGCAAGCACTCTGCTACTGAACTACACTCCCAACCCTGAAGACCACGCTTGTGTTAGCATTTAGGTGGCCATAATATATTCAGTTAACTCCACTGAATTCACAGCCACCTCCAACACTGTTTCTTTCCAATTTGAAGTTGTGAGATCCCATCTTTTTTTTTTTGGTCTTTTTGAGACAGGGTCTCACTATGCAGTTCAGGCTGGCCTTGAGCTCACTTTGTAGCCCAGGCCGGGCTTGAACTCGCAACAATCCTCCTGCCTCAGCCTCCCGAGGGTTACAGGCATGTGCCGCCATACCCAGTGAGATCACATTTTTTCACATCCAGTTGGTTTCAGTAACTTAGATGGATAATTTGACTTTTTTTCATATTTTATTTCATCTGCTCTGATTCAACCTCTATTACCCTGACATCCTTAGGGATCTTAATTTTCTCTTTCATTTATGCCTGGGTCTTGAGGACAGAATCACCATGAGGTAAGAAAATTCCTATAAAGTGCTAAGCACAAATGGCTGGCACATGATAATTCTCAGAAAAACATGAACAACTGTGGTAGTCATTTTCCAAACACTCAGCACAGGACCTAGCCCATTGTAGATCCTCAATAAATAGTCACTGGTTAATGAATGAATGATTAGATCAAGGATAGGTAGAATGAATAAATACCCCCTCTCCAGAATCTCAGGCCCAGTAAATAGTATATTATTCCTCAAACAGGAAAACTGAGGCTCAGAGAGTTTAGATGATTTGCCAAAGGTTACTCAGCTAGACTGAGAACAGGTAGAGGAACCACTGGTAGAACTGAAGTCTGCCTGATTTCAAAGCATGTGTGACTAATCCTTCCCCACCATGCTTCCTAACATCTGCATTCACATCAGCAGACTTAGTAGAGGAATCGTATTAAAGTCTGAGAGGGGGCTGGGGATTTAGCTCAGCAGCAAAAGTGCCTGCCTGGCATGCGCAAGGTCGTGAGTTCGGTTCCCGGTACCGGAGAAAAAAATAAAATAAAATAAAGTCTGAGAGGTTTCTGAACACTTGTGTCACAAACCCAGAGAATTTGATTTGCCTGTTGTGACCCTGGGTCATGGAGATGTGGAAAGGAGCAAGAAATGGGGAGCAGAGCACTAGAAGCTCCCTCTCTCTTCCTCTCTGGGCCTTTCATGTTCCCTGTCCTAAATTCTGCTCCACTATTTCTCCCAAGGAGCTAACAGCATGGTATGTCCCTAAGGAGATACTATGGAGACCAAGGAGCCAAGACCCAGAGAGGTGACTCAACTGCTTGCCAAGACCAGGGTCAGGACAGTCAGGGGCCTAGAAGAGAAGACACAAAGAGTGAGGAGACCCGTGGTTGCCACTCTGCCTCTACCTCTCTGGGTATCAGCTTCCTATCTGTAAAAGTGGCAAGGAGATAGTTGTCATCCTGCCTGCTTCTTAGGTTGGGATGAGGAACAACAATGAAAACAGGTAATGTTCACTCAGAGCTGCCTTTGTGCCAGCTACTGTCCTGAGTGCCTTTCATAGCCCTCCAGTTATCCCTATGAAACAGGTATATTGTTTACCCCCACTTTTTGTTCTTTTTGTAAATAAGGAAACCAATGCTGAAGGCCTCTAACTCTTAAACCAATCTGAAGTTTGAAACTGCGGCCTCGTGAGCCCTTCAGAGCTGAGAGACCAGGGATAGGAATGCTGCAGCATGAAATAAGCCTGAACTCTCCAGAAGAACGTACTGCACAGGTATAGGGCTTCTTATAATTGGGGCTGGAGGTTGGTGCTGGGGAAGAGCCTTTCCCCAGGAGACGGTTGCACAGATCTCAGAGTTAGGATGCAAGGGCTCCCCCAACCTTCGGATTGAATCTCCAGAGGGGAAAGTGGAGGGAGAGGCACAGTTTAAATTGCTCGTGTATGGAAGAGAGTTCTGGGGCTGGTGGAGGTGAGAGAGCAAGCTCCTAGGCTGTCCCTCCAGACTGACTGCTGTCCATTCAAAGCCTAAGCCTTTAAGCAAGAAGGCTACTGACGTGAGCTCAGATGATGCTCTGCTGAGGTTAAGACAAAGAGAAGCTCCAGTTCTGTCCTGTGTTGCCAAGAAACCAGGGACACAAAATCCAGGAAATCAGAACTTGTGGCAACTGGTACCACCCGTGACCCCTTTGTTCTCTGTCTCTCTGCCCTTGGGTTTCCTGCACCCGATACTGTTCTCCTTGTACCCATAGCCATATCCTTGGCTTCCCACACCTCCCTGTGGCTCATTCTCCTCTCACGTACCCCAGGACTCTCTCTGCCATGGCAGCTCCTTTGTTTATCTCGAGTTCCCAGGGCCACCACCAGCCAAACACAACAAAGCCCAGCCAGGGAGAGCTCGGCTCCAGAATCAAATTGGCCCCTCTGGGACAGGTCTCCAAACCAAGGAGGCCGCTCAAAGGTAGGCTGTCCCATGAATTGGGCTTCAGGCCCTGACAACAACCTTTCAGGAGTGGAGGGAAAGGACACAAGATCTGCCCATAGCTGGGCAGGAGCCCCTACTATTGAAACAGCTCTGGCTGGGAGCCTTGAGAATCAAAGGCCCAGCTGCAGAAAGGTAGGGAAAATTTGTGAGGCCCCCAAGGAAAGGAGCCAGAGGCTTGGACTTCTGGTTTTGCCCATGTCTCTCCTCAGCCAGGTAGAGCCTGGCCCTGAGACCTTGGTCTTAAGCCTGAAGACGGAAGTCTCTAAATTTCCCCACCAGGAGGCTGTGTTCCTCTCCCAGAACTTGAAGTCCTATACCTCGCCCAAGATTCTAGTCAATAAAGGAAGTGAACATTTACCCTGGGCCAAGGCCCTAGCAGGAAAAACTGCCAGCAGGTGCCTGGCCCTTGTCTGTCTGAGGCCAGTGGGGAGTGTATTTATCTAATGTATAAGTGTGTACTTGTAGGATGTACATGTAAAAGGAAGGGGCTCCAGTTCTGACTCTGGAGCTGTGGGAGGTGATGGGTGAGCAGCGAAGGTGCAGAGCTGGAGGGCAGCCAGGTCACAGACGAGTTCCTGTGAGGAATGGAGGTCATGGCAAAATGCAGATGCTCCATAGAAAAGAGGAGACCCCTGGCAGCCCGTATTTTGCAGTGGAGAAGTAGAAGGCCCTTTAAATGGTACCTAGTTAATTCCATATGGAGGGCAGGGGGATTAGGACAGATGTTGGTGAATGAAGTGGGGATGATTTTAAGAGAAACAAAACCCCTAATATCCTTCTCACTTTGGGATCCATTTTGGAGACAAACTTGAGTAAGGAATATAAAAATCTAACTCTGTTGCCAGGCCCCAGCAGAGCAGAAAAAAAGTTTGGGACCTATGGGCTTTTGGAAGGAACAGGAAGGAGGTTAGAGGTGAGCACCAGCCCTGCCCAGCTGTACTCTGCCTCTTCCGCTTCAGTTCCCAGGAGTGGGGGTGGGGCTCCACCATATACGTGAGGCAACCCACCTTCCCTCTGTGGGTTAGGGATTCTTGGAGGGGTCGTGGGTCTCCTGGAATGAAGAAGTCTGCCACAGTTTTAGGAACGGTTTTGCTTTTTATGTCATTAATGTACATTTTAATCTAACAGTTTAATGGCCTCATACATCTCATCTCTGCCCAAGCCCTCTCCCTGTCTCTCCCACCCCAGCACAATCAGCATCTCATCTGCCTCAAGGGCAGAAAATCACCAGGCACAAAGGTGACTCAAAGAAGAAGTGGCCCTGGAGATGCTTAGAATAGCACCTGACCCCCAGGAGAGTCCAGAGGCCAAGGAGCCTCAGGTAAGGGGAGACGGCAGACTGAGTCTCATTGGAAAGCACTGTCTTCTGGGTCTCAGTCTCATTCAGAGTCTGTCCCTTGAGGTCGTCCCTGCCAGTCAGAGCAGCAGAAGAGCAGAAATCCTCAGGTAGACTTGTGGAATAAAGGAGACCTTTAGCCCAAGTTACACTCAGAGTGGGCAAGGCTGGCGGAACTCCCTTCGTGCAGGCTGTGTGGATACTTCTGGCAGCTTCCCAAGCCTGCTGGGATTCCAAGAGTGTGAAGAGGAACTCTCAGAATGTACCACCCCAGAAGACAGACAGCCAGCACTGCTACCTGCAGCCACAAGACTCCACGACCATGTCCTCGTACTGCTTGTACACCACGTTGTTGGCAGAGTCAATGAAGAGGATGCTGATGGGACTCAGCCGTGTGGGCACGCAGCAGGTGGGTGGCGTGGACTCAGGGTCCATAGAGTTCATCAGGGTCTGGATGACCGCGTGGTTTGTGGGCTCGAGGTGAGAGCGCAAGGGAAATTCACACAGCCCTTCACAGTGGAAGGCCTCATACTCAAGGGGTGCGATGATCCAGTCATCCCAGCCCATGTCCTTGAAGTTGACATGCAGCGCCTTCCGACTACAGCGGGCCTTGAGGTTCTTGCTGGGTCGCTTGCCCTGGCGAGTGGCCAGTGGGGCTCGACGTTTCCGCCGCTGGCTAAACAAATACTCATATACAGTCTTATCGTCCTGGCCAGAGCGGGCCTTAATCTCATTAAAGAATAGGTCCCGTTTCTTGGTGCGCCCAAAAACCAGGAACAGGGCCTTCTCGTGGACCTGCCGGGCAGCCCGGTCAAAGCCCAGGCCACGGAGGTCCACAGCCCGGCCGCGTTCCCAGGCCTCCAGCTCCAGGCACAGCTGGGCTGAATTCTTAAAGTTTCGGAAGAGCTTCCAGATGTCAAACACCTCCCAGCCAGAGCCATCCAGGCCTGGCACAGAGCGCACATCCAGCAAGGCTGCCGGCTGCCGGCCGCTGGGGCAGCTGGACAGCTTCAGCTGGGCAGCCCGCCCACCGCTGGGGGCTACTGGCTTGGCTGTGTCTGAGGGCTTCTTCCGCAAGATCCGCAGCTCAGCCCCCAGCAGCCCATCCTTCTCCAGGGCACTAATGTCAAACACGTACCTCTGCTTCCTGACCACAGGGCCTCGATCATCTAGAGAGAACAGTCAGAAGTCAATTTTTGCAACCTCACCAGCAGAGCCAGCCACCTCCAGGCCTCAGGGGAGGGCCCCAGCTCTCTCCCCCTCAAGAGAGCTTTCTTTGACCTCTTCCCTACTGTTACAGAGGCCAACACTCCAAGCCACTAAGTGCCTTTTTCAGAATGAGGAAGCTTCCTACGTAGCGGACCAAGTAGGGATGTTTATCTGTAGATGTGGCTGTGGATGACTTGAGTGACTCTGGGTGTTTGTGACAATGATCTATGTGTATTAGAGCCATCAGCCTTATAACTGCCCTCTATCCCTCTTGTCTCTCTCTCCATCTGTGATCTAACATGATAGCTCATTGTGAGAGAGATGGAATGTGTATTAAAGTCACCCTTTTACCAGAGGAGGGACATAAAGTTCAAAGAAGCTAGGTGAATTGCTCAAAGTCACCTAGCTAGGACAAAATAAAGTTGGAATTCTAGCCTCAAGTGTTTATAGCCCATCCTGAGCTGCTTCCACTGTACCTTAAAAGAGATAGTGTTTTTGTTTTAGATGAGGCACAGAGATGAGGAGTGATTTAAGTTAGTTCACACAGCAAGCTAATGGCAAAGCTGGTCTACAACCCAATTTCCCTGGCTTCCTAGTCTAATAATTTTATCATAAATATATATGTATGTATGTATATATATGTATATATACTCATATATATGTATATATACTCATATATATACATATATATTTATAGTAAATATATATATATTTATAGTAAATATATATATATTTACTATATATAGGTATATATACGCATATTTTTTTCCTGCTAGGTGTGTGAGTGTGTGACAGTCTTTATGTGTGTGTGTGATTGAGTTCATCTGTGAATATGCAAGTAAGATGCATATGAGTGACATGTTACATGTATGTATATTTGGTCTTGTGTGAATATTTGAAGAGTGCATGTATATGTGTGTATGATTCCATGAATATACAGAAGAAGGAGTGAGAAGAGGTGAGAGACAGTAGTATCTGTGAAGCAGAAATCCCTGTTTTCTAAATACCAATTTGCTATTGGGTAACACTCATATATTGCTCTAGAAGGTAACTAATTAGGCATTTAAACTCTCCATCTCCCCCTTCCCCAGCTCCCTTAGTGCTGGGGGGCACAAAGACTTATTTTATGAGCCCCCAAGGGGTCACAGCTTTCCCTGGCTGGGCAGGCAGCCAGACTACCTCCCCCACCTCAGCCAGACCTGCTGCCTCTGTGCCTCCCCCTCCATCCTGTGTCATTCCCTCTACAGACCAGCTCTAATGAGGAGCCTCTCCCACTCTGCCCCTCCCCCACCCTGCCAGCTAAAGTCCCAAGATCAGAACCAGAGCAAAGGAGCCTCAAGCAACCCAGGCTACCAGTGGCCTATCTCCCTTCACACTATGGAGAAATTGAGGTCCCACAGCAAATCCAGAGGAAAAGCAGCCCAAGGTGGGCAGAGGGAGAAGTGAGGAGAACAGGTATTCTCCCAGGTTAATGATGAAAATGATCTGTGTTTAAAATAGGACACAAAGTTTTCACGTTTGAAAGGCTCTCAAAAGCACCCAGACCAGCCCCTGTGTATGTATACTGATGGTGAAATCTGAGACTCCAAGGTGAGAAGGGGCTTTCGCACTGTTAGACTCTAAGTCTGCCTCCTTTCACCGCTCCAAGATGCCCCCTTTCCTATCTTCACCTATTATGCTTCCCTGCCCCCCTAATTTGGGGGCAAAGTTGCAGATCCATGGTAACCTAAAGATCCATTTCTCTCTTTACTGAGAAAACCCTGGAGCTTGGAAAGTTTGGCCAACCCACATAGGTACAGAGCATGGCCCAGTAATCAAGAGTTTTGAAACATAGTCTTCAATTTTGCCACCAACTGGCACGTCTTATCTCCTTTCTGGGCTTTAGTGCCCCCGTCTGCACCTTGCAAGAATTGGACTTGGTGAACCCTAGGTGTCCCCTAGGACTGGCATGCCAGCAGCCTGGACCTGTCTGTGTGAGATAAGTTCCAGTCCCCCACCCCTGGCCAGATGCACACACTGTCCCTGGCTTGTGTGTCAGCCTCAGAGCTCTGGAAGCCCCTCAGTGCATGCACATGTCCCTCCCTGCCACCCTACCCCCTCACCTTGCCCTTTGTCAATAAAGCTGGTGATGGTGTTGGCCAGGCCAGCCTCCAACTTCACGCTGCTGTTGCTTCCCTTTCTGTCAGCATCGGACAGCGTCCTGTACAGCGAGAGCATGTACTCGTGGGGTGTGATGGGGGGTGGGCGGAACGGCTCCTTGGACTCTTGAGGGGGCCCAGGCTCCCTGGACTTCTTCAGCAGAAAGGAGCTGGGGACAGATCCTGCTTTTGAGGGTGCCTTGCCCCCAGGAAGCTGTCCTTTTGGGGTTACAGTCCGTGATGCAGCCTGCCTGATCTGAGGAGGGGATCCTTGCTTGGGTTCAGGGCCACCAGATCTAGGGGGCAGCTTTTTGGGTTCATCTTTCTTGACCTGTGTCTGCCCGGCGCCTCCCTTTGCCCTGGCATTGGCGGCCCCCCCACCGTAGCTGTGACCACCTGGCCTAAAGATGTTCCGGGCCAGGGGGGGCCTCTCTTTGGCCTCCGCTTTGGCCAGTCCTGGCCTGGCCCCCGGGGGTCTCTGGCCCAAGTCAGGGGCACCCAACACAGTGCAGATGAATTGCAGATCCAGCCAAGCCAGGTGCCAAAGCAAGAAAGTGAGGAGTTTGGGGAGTCTCATCCTCTGGCCAGCCGCTGAATGACACCAGAGAGAACAGTGGCAGCAGCGAAGGTGCCTCTGGCTTGGCAGGAAAAACCATGAAAGGAATGGATCTTCAGAAGCAGTGGCAGCAGCAGGAAGGGCTTTCTCCTCAATCTGAGACTCTTGCAGTCCGCCGGGCGTGTGTCTGTATCCAGTCCCATAGTGGAAATGCTCCTGTATCCAGACGTGCACCGTCTCCAGTCAGCAGCTGAAAATAACTCGTTCTTGAAAGGAGAAAGCCGACCGCCCCCTTTCTCCCGCACAACTGACTGAGAGCTTGAAGGAGGCTTGTATAAGGCTGAGAGATTTTTCCAAGAAGGAAGAATGGCGTAATGCTGCCTGTGTGCTCCAGTTTTTTTTCCCCCTAGTTTTGAATCCTTTCCAGTGAAAATACTTCACACACACACACACACACACACACACACACACACACACACACGGCCTGCAGGTGCTCAGAAAAATCTTTTACAAACCTGAACTCAGGAATTGGAAACGGAATTCCAACCCAAACCAATTTAATTACTCTCTGATGTCATGCTGTCTAAATTCATTTAAGTGCGATATATTTATGTGAAAAAAATCACCGCTGCCCTTTGGAGGCCACAGCTCACGGGGGCTCTTGGCACTGAGCCCCGCAGCGGGACTTGAGGCTTAGGGGGCCTCCCAATCCCTGGAGCAGACTCAGGGGTCTTCACCTCCACCTTGCTGCGTGGCCCACCCCACCATCCTGCAGAGCCACGCTGAGGAGTGAGCTCAGAGATCTGAAGCTGCAGAAGCACAGGGAGTGTGGGTTTTCAGCGAAGTCTTTGGAGTGTTTTTAAAGCAGTTTCAGTCCCTGCATCTAGTCTGGGACCTGATTGGTGTGTGTGTGTGTGTGTGTGTGTGTGTGTGTGTGTGTGTGTGTTGGGGAGGCAGCACAGATGGCAGCGTTTACCCACAGTTTCTTTTATTTTAATAAACTTGTGGTGACCCAGAGACAGAAAGAATATCAGTGCCCACTACACCCCTCCCCCTCCCAAATGCCATTGGCTGAGCTCAGATGATTCCTTCAGGCTTGGGGGCACTGCTACCCTGGAGTGCACTGCCACTAACCCATCAAAGACGTCCTCAGTTTTCTCAGACTGGCCGAATCCAGGGGCAGCAGTCCCAGCCTGGGGCAGCAGCGGCCCCTGCAGGAGGCTGGAAAAGCGATTTCCAACAGAATGCTTTGGTAGTTCAGAAGTCTGAACTCCAGCTGGACTCAAAGATTTCAAGTGCTTTGTTGAAGCACTGAAGCCCTTTTCCCTTTGGGGCCCTTCACCCTATTCTCCCCTGGGCAACTTACCACAAAGTTTTGAGGGGAAGCTTCTCCCTTCACTTGGAAGATTAGCCTCCTGTCACTCCCATGACTGGAGAAAGTTCTCCTCATCCTGAGACTTTCAGTTGGAAAGCTACCACCTCCAGGAAGCTCCCCGATTCTCTGCTGGAGACAATGACTTCCTTTGACACACTGGCCTACAACACTTGCACATTTTAAGAAGAGCAGTAGTGGGAAAAGCAGAAAAGCAGTCATCAGATAAGGTTCTTTTGAATCTTTTTCTTTTTCTTTTTCCAGTGCTGGATATGAACCCAGGGCCTCACACATACTAGGCAAACTCACTACCACTGAGCTACATTCCCAGCCCTCCTTCTTAATCTGAGATCCTCTGAGACAACCTAACAAATCCTGTTCATATGCTAAGGTTGGTTTCTTGACATAGCCAGGCACAGAGTGGAAGATGCCAGTGAGTGTCTGACAAATGGAGAGTACGGAATTCACCACTGGGGGTGGGGACATGGTCCAGCGGAAGAGCATTTGCTCAGCGTGTGCAAAGCCCTGGGTTTGAGCTCTAGCACCACAACAAACAAACCAAAGGAAAAAACCCTCAGTGCTGGGGATCCAAGCAGGGTTGCCATTCATTCCTTTGTGACAAACTCAGGGCCACTGAACTTAAAGCCCAGCAACATGACTCGGCCACTCCAAGTTTTGTATGGTGCTCCAGGTCAGAAAAGACAGGGGAGCTCTGCTTCTGCATGTCAGATAACCAATGTGCTTGGGCATGATCATGCATCCCTATAATTCCAGCTACTTGGGAGGCTGAGGCAGGAGGATGACAAAGTCAAAGCTAGCCTGAGCAACTTGCGACCCTGACTTTAAATAAATAAAATAAAGTGAAACAGGCTAGGAATGTAGTTCAGTGCTTTCTAGATTCAATCCCCAGTACCAAAACCAAAACCATCAGGCTCAAGTGACCTATGCACCACCAGGTTCTCTTTGGAGGGTACTTGAAGGAAGGGCTAAATCTATTACTAACTCCCAGGTCACCACACTTGGCTTCCCTTTTGACCCCCAATCCTCTCTGCATTCCCCCCTCCTCTCTATCCCATCTCTGTCACTGTCCCTCTCCCTGTCCCTTCCCGCTGGACTTCCTATCAGTCCCTGTAAATGGCTTCTAGGCCTCCAGAATCTCTTTCTTCCAACCCTCCCTCTACTTGAAACTTGACCCCAAGTGCCGGCTCATGTGCCATCTCCTCCATTCCCTTATCCCCCAGAAAAAGCACCTTCCAAACCGTCATCACACATTCTTTGCTCTTTTCCATTCTGGAAGCTCAAGGTTGCTCCATTTGCCGCCCCCTCCCGCATCTCCAACACAGTTTCTCCCACCCTGGGTACTTTTTTCATATT